AGAATGCACTTCTTAAAGGCATCGGACAAGCTGTCCTGATTGGAAGACGTTTGCTTGCATTTGTTGACATGCAGGTGGAAAAGTGATGCCACCAAACCATGCAACCACCATTCAGCTCTGAATCCGAGTCGAGTTTGAATGCATTGTCAGTAATGCCTCAGATTGATAGCCGCATAGGAATCATGTCTGAATCGGATTCCTACGGCGAGCAAGTGGGGACATTTTCAAAAACGTTGTGTGAGACCGGATTTGGTTAGATTTATGGGTGGAACTACAATAATGCTTCGCAGTGTATGCTGGTCCTTACGTTAGATTTACCTTCAATCAGATTTACTATTCCTTTTATTTATCAAACTCCCTCCCAGCTAGATTTATTTCTATTTATCAAAACCTGGCTTATTCGAGTAACTCTTTGAAACAATGACATGAGCTTTTTTCCACTGGGCCATAGTTGAACGTACTTGCCTTTACCAGTTTCATGGCGCTCCTTACATGTAAGCATAAAAGAAAATGAATCAATGAAATTTTGGATCCATTCTCCACCGAATTCAGTGACATACCTTTCGTAGGATCCCTATCAGAGTGTTTTTCATTTGTTTTGTGTACTACGACACAACGACAGTAAATTTGAGGCATTAGGCCAAAAAGAACCAAGCGCATACCTCGAGCTTCGTGGACATCTCTTGTGAATGAAGCGCTACTCCGAACCACTTCGAAAAGGATACCAAGCACTGCTCCAATCGTCTGATCACTGATGGGTGGTCTACGACCACCAGCATCGGGAAGCTTTTCGATCAAATCTCGTAGAGCGTATTTTCCTGTAGAAAACAAGGCTATACGACCATGCTATGCTACTCACCTGTTAGCACACTGCACACCGTGAGTGAAGGACCAACATATCTACCACAGAAACAATTTGAATAAGCGCAAGAAACAATATAAATCAACCTAGAGCGTGTGCGTTGAAAACAATGCACAAGTGCGCGAAACAGGAAGAAGCCCGCGCAATAGTGTCAATAGACGCAGCGTTAAACGATAAAGTAACCCAGGATCCAATATAAAACACCCATTACCTATCAACTCGCGATTCCTTGGATCCAGCGACAGATTCCGCAAGGCAGTAGCAACCGCACAGACCACATAATCTTCTTTGAGCCGGATCAGTTCGACAAGTACCGGCAGGCCTTTCTCAACTCGAACCGCGGCACGAACTTCAGCGCTAGGATTGAACTGGCAGGCTGCCAAGTTCTGGATCGCTCCAGCAGAAGCCTGAAATCACATACTGTTTGGGTTCCGCAGAAAACATTCTTTCAAAT